GATGGTTGAATAAGTTAAACAAGTTTTCCAGTTTATAATAATAATAATATTAATAATAATTATTATAATAATAAAAAACGAGATTCTTTATAAAATTATCGAAAATAATTCTACGTCCAAAAAAAAATTTTTATACAAATTTTTCTAAAAAACAAACGATCTTTGGCACCGGTTTATCTATTAGCGAAGGGGGGGTTTGAGTTGATTTGTTTTAAATCTGCGTTATTACGAGGGACGTAAAAGAATCAAGAAAGACCTCATCACATTCGTGCATATATATGGAATTTTCAACTCGAAATATAGGCAAAAGACGAGTGGTAAATTGGAAAGGTAATTATTTTAACACCCATTCCTTTAAAAAACTTGATCGTAGCATACTATCTCCTTACTTGTCTAAGAATATATATATATATATATTATTTTTAATTTTGTCATTACCTAACACTAGAATCTACTCGAGAAAATATATAATAATAATATATATATATATATTATCTATATACAGATCCACTGTATACATAGAAACTAAATGCATTTTTTTTTAGATTTTTAATGTAAAATTATCAACAATAACAATTTAATTTTCTCAAAAAATTAATTAATTAATTAGAAATTTTGTTTTTCTTTTGGAATTGTTTTGTTTTTAATTTATAATTTTAGACAATGTAAGGAGACATCCCGAGACTCGAACCTGGGAGAGAAAGAAAGACACATCACGAGATACCAAAGAAATTGGAATAATTCACACCTATCTTCGACGAGGAGAGCTTTGTCGATGGATACCCTCGGAAATTTGTTGAAACTTTTTGTTTTTTTTTTTTCACAAAGATATACGAGGATAGACGATACAAAGATATACACGCACAACACCACGCGGAGATAGAAGATAAGACTGAATAACTGGAGGAAAATTCGAAGAGGGAAAAAATGGACATACTGGAATATTGGAAAAAGGGTAAATTTTGCTTCAAATTTTATTTATTATTATTTATTTTTTTGTTTTATTATTCATTTGGCATCTATAGAAAGACATCTTCGTTTGGTATATTCCCTCGGTTGCGTTGGTAAACGAGGATTATAACTGGAGAAAAATCAACGTGAGGTTAGCGAGGAAGCTTTATATCGAAAGTTTTCGACTCCTTTCCCTCATTTCTAGTTTTGGGAATTGTTTTGATAGATCGCTAAAAACAGAAAAAAGGAAAAAAGATGGGGGAGGCCACGTGTACACAGCAACTGATTGGTTTTAAACAAAGCAAAATCTTAACTCTCATTTGTCTTTTTCCTATCCTCGACCTCTCTCTCTGGTTCGTTGTTGGAAAGCGAGGAAATCATTTCTTCTCGGGAAATTGTAAAAAGGAAATTAGTTTGCAAATTTTTAGCTAAAGAAGATTGATTTCCTTGGTTCTTGATTTATCGTTTTTGAAAGAAAATCCTTTTCTAGGGAAATCTTTCAATCAGTAAAATGTTTAAATATTCCATCTACACAAAACTGCAGATAATACAAGATTAAAAATTGGCTTTTTTCTCTTCTTCTTCTTATAACAGTTTTTTTTATTATTATTATTTTTATTATTTATTTTACCTTTAAATTGGCACTTTTTCATGGAAGTAAATACGGACAAGCTATGCAAAACAGACTAGAAAATTGTATATTTTTTTTTCTTATATTTTTAAATGAGAATATAAACTATATACCGAGAATTATTTCGAGTTTCCATGAAAATTAATGACGATCGATCAACTTTTTATTCACTCAAACAAAAATCAATCGTCATTATTATATAGAAAATTTCTCTATTCTTAAAATTTTCATTTGTATTTTCAACTCCATTTATCAACAAATTAGGAAAAACCATTTTTTTGCGTTTTTTTTTTTGAGTTTTTGGCACTTCAGTTCTTTTACTTTTTATTCTCGAAGGAATCGTTTGGATAATAATACTGGCAGCAGTAAAAAATATAAACTAATCTGGCCAAAGAATGTTTTAACATTTTGCGAGTAGACTAGAAATTCTCAAAGAAAACCTTTGGCATTTTGCATGACTAAAAAATTGGCCGACTGCTTTTGAAAAAACGTCTTCAACAAGAAAAGCAATTGAACCATTTGTTTAGAAAAATCAAACACGTTTCGTTCTTCGAAAATTCTTTGGCACACGAATTATTGTTGGCACCTAAAATATATAAAAATTCGTTCAAAATTCAACAAGATTTCTGCTTCCTGACATTAACCTGCACGTTCTTGCGCTTCTTTTCTCGAAGATCCGTAAAGATAGGATGCTCTTCGGGATATAGCTCAAAGGACACAGCAAGTTCGTAGCCTTTGGCTGAAGTTTCCTCGAAAGAAATTCTTAATAAATTTTCTCGAAATAAAGTAAATAGTAAATTTGCACTTATTGGCCTCTGTGGACTGACTTCGGAGCTGCTATTTTAATGCCAATATCAGCCGGACGTAGCTAGATGACAAGATCCTTGGTGTCTCGATCGTCGATCGTTGGAGATTTTTATTATTGACAGTCTATGGGTTGAGTCTCTTGATACGGTTTGCAGTAACTGTAACGATGATTCATGTGCTGACTATAAGAACCCGAATGGGAAAATCTCTTCAGGCATTTTTTGCATTGGAAAGGTTTCTCGCCGCTATGCAATCTCTTGTGTTCTGTTAGATGATGTTTGTGTTTGAAAGCTTTGTTGCATACATCACATTTGTGTGGTCTTTGACCTAAATAAGGAGAAGATACGTTATTAATATTTAAAATATCTACTAAAGGTAAGAGCTTTCATTCGTATTTAACTCACCGGAGTGCTCGTACTTGTGCCTAGCCAAAGAGCTTTGTTTACTGAACATCTTGTCGCATTGATCACAAGCGTACATCCCTTCTTCCGAATCTAGTTTGTGCTGTTTCCACGATTTCCTTCTCTTCTCTCCTGCCACTTGATCTTCCGGTCCTGGACTGTCCTCGATGGCACTCTGACTCTCTTCTCCTTCCAGCTATGCGGATGAAAATGCATACATCATTTTCTAACCTAATAGTATAAGATCGTAACGTTTTGTAAACTCACTATTACCTTCCAGGAGCGCTTCTGCACTTTCCTACATTTGGGACTTCCCGGCTCTCCTCCGGAAGAGTTGTCCAATCCTATGATGGCACCCGGACTTTCCATCCCATCTTGACTACCACAGTCTGAAGAAGACGGAGGTCGCGTTACGTCGTAACTGCAGATGGAAAGTGGCGATACGTGATTGGTGGAGGAGGGATAATCGGGATAGCTCGCGTCCTGGATTTCGGGAGAACGGCACTTAACCATAATCTGAGACATCTGGCGATGGTTCACAAGATAATTTCCTTTCTGCATGTATTTGTACAGTACAGAATTAGTCAAACGGTAGTCACCATTCTGTAATTTTTTAGCATCGGTAACATCTTCGGTCACTTCGATCTCGTCTCCATTGATCCCGTTATTGCTATCCTTGAGAGGCGTCGAGGTTCTAGAAGATCTGTTGCTCAGATTCAGGGCTTCGTTCTCGATGTGGCGAGGCGAGTTTGGAGCCGTTTGAAACCTAGACTTCATGGAGAGATCCAGAGGTTGATCTTCGTCATATCTGGAAGTCAGGTTGACGATACCATTGTAAGGGCTTAAGAAAGTCTGAGGGGGAGGAGAAGTCGCCTGTTGAGGATCTGTTGGAAAACAGGCTTGAACTACTCGAGGATAACCAAGTTCGCGTACCAGTTTGATAATTTCAGAATTTCTGGGCTTATCTTCGCTTTCGTTGTTTTCTTCGCCTATCGGCTCTTTGTCTTCGTTAGAAGCAGCTTCCCTATTAGTGGATGAGGCGCTGTAACTATCTTCGCTTTTTCTACATTGATATCGCTCATGATTCTGCAACTCGACTAAATTTTCAAATACGGAATCACAGTTTCCACACCTTAATTTTTCCACATTCGAAACAGCGGGCGATCCGACAGAATTCTCTTGCACATGTAAAGGTGAGGAGTTCACGTCTGGTATTAGACCATTTTTACTGCTGCCTGTCATCAGTTGCTGCCTGGAAACAGTTGCATCGACTATTTCTAGTATCTTTTTCACAGCGTTCAAATTTTTACTTTTACCTGGGCTACCAGGAGGATCGTCTCTTTCGATGTCTATCGGAGGAGGCGTAATAGTAATGGGACTTCTTTGAGTCACACAAACGCTGTTGGTCGTAACACACAAGGAAGACGGAAGTTCGTTCGATGTCGGTATCTGCTCCAGGAGTTGACCCCTGGGTTGTAATAACTGGCTGACGTCTGGGAAATTATGCAAAGGAAGCGAAGGCGGAGGAAGTGTGGAATTCAAGTGACCGGCCAGGAGAGGATGGAAGGGAAGAGAAGAATAAGGAGCCGGCAAGAACGATGGATGTCCAGCGTGTTGGGTCGGATGAAAACTTGGCAAGAAACTGGGAAACCTTTCAGTCGGAGGCACGTAACCGTGCGGCATCAAACTGACACCTTCTGTTGCAGCAGCACCATATTTCGGAATGATTGGGCGGAAGGCAATGTTTTGTTGATTAGCAGCTTGACCACGAAGTGGCTTATTATCCATTTTTTTCACCTAGAAATAGCATATAAAAATTGTTATCCGAAGACAGATATTACATATTTTTTAAACCTTAACCTAAATAAATATTCATTGATTGTTTTAATACCTTTAGATTCATCACCAGGCACTTCTTGCTGGTCATGTGGGAAGAATAAGATCCCGAATGAGAAAACCTTTTTCCACAGTTGGAACAGGCGAAAGGTTTTTCTCCGCTATGGATACGTATATGTTCCTTTAAGTGATGTTTAAATTTGAATGCTTTGCCGCATTCGGGACATTTGAATTTCCTAAGTACGGCGTTCTCTTCCTGACCGATGACGTGTCGCTGAAACAACAGACAAAAGGAAACTTCCTTGAAAATTACGCCTGAAAATCAAATTAATTCCGAAGAATTCCGAATATAATCAATTTAAAATCATCAAACATCTAATTAATAACAATTAAGACTTTAAGATTCTTTTGTTTCGACAACGAGGAGGACCAAGTATCCAAAACTACCCGATTGCTAACGATTCTGGATAATATTAAACGAATAATAAATTACCGATGATAGTTGCAAACTTTTCGTTGCGAAGACGTTTACTTTATTAAAATTAAGAATGCGGTTAAGTTGCTATAATAATATCATCAATATTTTTCTATAATTAAAAATGGAAACTATTTTTAATTACTTAAATAATTGTGGATAAAAATATTTTAATATTTATTATCTGTATGACTTTTTCGTAAATTTTAATTTATTTAAATGCAAACTTACAGAAAAACTTCAACTAAAATCTCGTAAATGATAAGAATTTAAGAAAATTATTCTAAAAAGTCTATTTATAAAAATTAAAAATCAGATTTGCTTCTAGATGCGATGCCAATCCTCAATTTGTATGGCACCATGCATCCAGTCTGACTTGATATATGATACTTCATACAGAATAGAAGCAGGTACGATACAGAAAAAGGAAAGGAGAAATCTTTTTAAAAATCATCTAACTCCGTTCTTGTAAATTTTATTTAATTGCTAATAATAACAGTTTTGATAAAGAAAGACAAAAATATTTTTAAAATGGCGCAGTTTTTACAACATATTTTTACTTTTTCTTTCAAAAAAAGAAGGGGGGAAAAACAAGAGCTAAAAAATTCGTGATCAATAGTAAATATAACGAATTTGAAGAATTAGTACAGTAAGCAACACAAAAATATCAGTAACGTCTGTCATTCTCTACTTATCAAACGTATTATCCTTTGACACTGACTGACATTTGATTAAATTTAACAATTTATCTGCAAACATTATTAAATTAGTAAGGAGATAGGCGCAACTCTCCTTTTCGCACTAACAGGTAGCTAAATACGTCACCGGTTAAGAAATTAAAACGAAAATTTAACGGTTTAATAACTCGATTATTTATTAAAAGATTAATAACAAAACCGAACGACGCAGGGAAAGGAGACTTTCCTGCAATGCGAGTCATCAGAAGGAAAAGCCGCTTTTACAGGAGCTGCAAAGTTTTTCAACCGTTAAAAAAAAAAATAAGAAACGACTCACTTACCTGGCTAACTGCCGAGTGGAACAGTTTGTGTTTTGCCAGATGTTCCTTTTCGGCGAAAGTGGCATTACATTTAGGACAAACATAATTTTTGGCATTCGGCTTCTGTTCGCAGACGGGGTCTGTGTAACCGTGGTAAGAGACGAGATGTTCTTTGAGCGCTTGGATATCCTTGGGACCGGCGAAGAGGCGATCGCAACGTGGACATTTCAGGGAGTATTCGTCCACCATTTTGGCTCCATCTGTCGAGATAAAACAAAACCATTTCTGAACGGCTAGCATAAGGTCGAGAGGGGATCGAAGGGAGAAGTGAGAACGTTGTTACACCGACCGAGTTGAACGGTACATTGTGGTAGTTAGGAGCGACGTCTCGGCTCTGCTGGCTCTTAGCCTCGGTTTCACTCGTGATTCACGATCTACGTAGGTCAAAATGTAAATAGGGAAAACTCGAACGAATCAATGGAACAATACTTAATGTATACAATAGTGTTTGTCCACCGGATGAATGTCGAATGCCAACAAATACTAAATTTAATTCGTTAAGTAATTCGGAACGTGATCTCCTCGCCATCTTGTTTAAAGTCGTAATCTTTTATGTCCGAATTGATCGTCAGATATAAAATTGACTAATTCATTATCGGGATTAATTTCCAACGATCAAATTAATTTCAGCTTCTGCAATTTTCCTATTTTCTTCTCATCGACTACATTCTCCTCTTCGCACTATTCTAGTTGCGTATATTTTTTAAACATAATTAAGTTCTCTACGTTTAATTAGAGGCCGGGTAATCGAATATATCTGCATCCATTAAACAAAAGGCTGCGACTTTAAAAATTCTAGAAGCGTTAAAAATTCTATAATTTTATAGAAACGAGTCGCGCATTAAACTTACATTATGTCAGACGGGAAAGTAGAAGGGGAAAGAAAAATTGTCGAATTTTAAAATATTCTTTTAACGTCAGAAACTAATATAATTCATCTTTAGAAATCTAAACTGGATAAATCAACTTTTAGCAAACGTAAGTCGGCAAGCTGGCAAGTCGGGCACATCAATAACACTGTTGCAAACTCGGTTCCATAACAATGCTTATTGTACGATAAGAAAGAGCTGCATAGAAGTGCAACCCGTCCAGTAAAGCCAAGATTCATGTTGTGGCCGACTGTTAAGTGGAACACGGAACGGAAAAAATGCTCTTGTTGGAGATGACAACACTGACCGATGTTGGTCGATGATAGATTACCAAGGGCAGGACACGGGGGCATCTTTTCGTGTCGTTTTCATATAAATCGCATGCCAGATGCTCGCTTTGACCCCCATCCCCTTAGAGATGAGCTCTCTTCACTGCCTGCTACTGACTGCTGTTTCTAACCCGATTCCATTCTGCTCTTCCATCGCCTGCAAAACACCAGAGCATTCGAAGCAATCGCCCGTTATCTCAAAAGTAACATTTAACTGCTTATTGTAGTTGACCATTTCCTGAACCGAATCTTAATGTTCTCCTTCCGAATCAATGGAGCCACTTTAAAACCTTCGATTAAACTAGAGAAAAATCAAGAACTTAAAATGCAGGATTTAAAATTATATAATTATTTAAACGAGAGAAATATAAAATAAGATTTGTCAAACATTTCTTCCTACTCTTTCGGAAATAATTACTTCACTTCATTCATAAAGCGTAGCTTTGTAGTTTTTTCAAATTGTTCTCTCTTATCTCTAATACGAAGAGAGGGATGGAAAGTAACGAATCTAAATTTAGAAAAGTTTCTTTTGTCCCCCCCTCAGAAAATGTCGTGCTTACATCGATTTATATACAGAATTATACACGAAAGAGGGCTTAATAAATAATTCATAGAGACCGTAAAAGCATATAATGTTAATTCTATATCTGGTATCTCATTATGGGATCTTTGGTAATCGCAATTTGGGCATTTCTCGTTTATATCGAACCGTCGAATCTACGAAGCAATGAACGTCCGAGAATGGTGGTCCCTAAACGCCACACTCGAAACGGGTGTAACGACGTAACGTCCTTACAAACCCGTCACAACACCAGATCCAGCGGAGTGACGATTCCACATTTGCATGTTAATAGTAACAAGTGTGATAAAATAGCGTACAACTGCCACCACTCGGTCGCTATCTCGTCTGATGGGACACTGGTCAGCCAAGGCTTTACAACCGGGCAATTTCACCTTAACTGGTTCTAAGATTTATATCTGTAACCCTCCCAATTCTCTGTAACGTTTCCAAATGGCGTCGCGATGAAGTCACCCACTTTGATTATATCGCGCATCTTTCGACTCGAAATTAAACCCAAATTTATTCTAGTTTCGACACCAATCTATTCCGGGCCTACCTAATTATTTTCTGAATCACCAACACGTGCAAATTCGGCTACAAAGTTGGAACCGGCGCCAACAGATGGCGTTAGCGACAAAGCGTACTTGACAAGCCGACAAAATGCTAATTCTTTAATTAGAATAGCAGTTTTTACTTGTAATAAAAAATTATAAAAAATGGATTAATATTTATGAAATCAATTGGAGTAATCGCAGTTTTTATATCGTTAACAAGTATAAAATTAAATGGCGTTTATCTATCGAAGTACGCGTCGAAGATAAATAAAAATTACGAGGGGTTATTCTCGGAGACGACTTCTTGACAAGATGCCGGAGAAACAACAGTATTTTATTACTTTTCTAGCAGATTTAGTAAAACGTTACGGCCGGACGGAACCGTGGCACGTGGCCAAAACACACAGGTATATAGGGCGAAAGAAGAAATAAGCTACCATCCGCCTCGTCCCAGATCGAAATGAGAACCTGTGGATTCTTACACTCGTATGCTAAGTGACACTCTTGCAATATTTAGAAAATAAGAGATTTAATCATAAAATAAAATTCCATATATTCGTGTATAAATTGACGATTGAAAAAAGCACTATTTTTAGAAAGTAACGGAGAGTATTTTGCATCAGATAATACTAATACAATTAACACGATGAAACTGAAAAGAAGCGGCGTAGACGTATCTCGAAATGGAATCAAAGCAAAATACGCAGTTTCCAAAAACCGGTTAATCGCGTTTACTTATAATCAAAGAAATTAAATCGGATTTTTATATATAAAGTGTGAGGAATTTAATTGCGTGTCTCTTTCTGTGTGCGAGAAAGATTTTTGTTCGCTGTTCTGCACACGAGCAGAGTGGAGGAAGCAAAAGCTGCCATTCGGGGAGAAGGGAAGTTACCGGGCGGTTAACCGGTGTAAGAGTGTGCAGAACAAAGGAAGAGCGGGATATCTTTCTAGGCAGAGACCGTGCCGCCAACTAATGACTGTATTTCACTTTCGGTGGGATCCCAATTCGTCTCCATCAGCATGCAAGAGTCGCAGGCCAATACAAATTGCGGCAGCCCGTTATAAATCATTCTGCTGTCAATACCGGACGGTTGCGACTAGTTCTTGGGTCGATATCCACCACCCGCTCTCTCACCTTGCTTCAAAGGTGTCCACGACTTAACTAATCACTTCCTCCAGTGTTACGTCTCCACGTTCTTCTTTTTCTAATCTAATAATTTTGCAACGGAACCACTCTAATCCTCTTCCGTTCTGTCAGGCCACAACACACAAAAAAGGTACCTATTTATCAGCGTTATAATTAACAGGCAACCCGGCACTACCGGAAATTTCGTTTCTTAATCTGATCCCCCTTTTTCTTTTTCTTTTTTTTTTTTTATTTGTTGTTAGTGGTGGAGGAGGTTCTCGGATAAGCTTCGAATGTGGCCATAGTTTTGATAATTACGGACGTGAACCCGCAATGGTAGTTAGGTCACACGGGGACAGATAAGACTCGACCAATCGATGCCAGCCAATCACAGAAAAGATTTTCCCTCTCGCAGCAAGAACTAAACTCGTTCCGACGTCTGTCTATACCAGCCTTACATATAGGCTAATAACTGGGGATACAACGGATACGTGATCCGAATTCTTCTCCTAAAAAGGGGTTAATTAACTTATCTTCCTCCACTCTATCTATTTTTAGTTAATAAATAAAAAAGTATAAAAAAAAAACACTATTCTAGTAACAAATCGACTGGATTGCTTGCTGTTTTTCTTTCCAAATTGGAAAATTTAACAAATTTACAGTATTTTACAAAATTAAATATATTTAAAATCTAATAAATCTGCACAATTGCTTGCATAAAAATGACGTGTTTAGTAATTAATTATAATTAAATCTCAAATATTCTATTCATACACAAGAAGAGAATACTGTAATTAACTTAACTTATTAAACAATTTGTAGTTGTATAAGATGTTTAAGGAATCTTGGATTTATGTTGATACAATTCTTAAGCCTTTAAATTATTCTTATTTTTATTGCTGTAAGGATGGATGCAATCTTATGCAAGATTGCATCCACCTTGAATAAGATGTTTATCTTATAGAAAAAGGGAATGTTTAACAGTCGAAACCATCCATAAACATCATTTCACACAAGAGTTTGAACCAATCCGTAAACATTTAAATTGTTGCATATCATTGTCAAACATTTAATTCTTATCCAAGAATGGAAATTTTAAGGATTGGTTAAATTTAAGATTCGGTCGGTATATATTATACTCTTCGTAACACAATTGGTATCTTTAACATAACACGTCGGTACAACGTATACGAATCGGATCTAGAAATTTATTCTAAAATAATATTAAAATTTTGGAAGGAAACGTCATTTGAGAACATTGAATTTCAAAAAAGGAAAACATCATAGATAGTAATTTAATCTAAAATGCCGTTTTGCATTTACATGGAGGGAGTGTTGCAAGAAAGAGTGTTACTAATGTTATCTAATAGGCGGAAGAGGTTGCAAAGAGACTCTTTTTGTGAAACAATTCCGGTTTCGAATCGTGTAATTAAGAAGAAAAAAATCGCGTCACACGTCTCCAAATATTAGAAATCGATGACATCTCGACTATTGCCGAATGCTCATTTCCATATAACCGATATCTGAACCGGGATTGAAGAGAGGATGATGACAAAACCGGGTAGAAAAACGGTGCACAAAAGTCCCAATAAGACGATATGTGTCATTTCTGCGGTCCAAAGCGAGGTGGGCCCCGAACGACAGATAAGAGTTGGATCCTTTTTGATTTGGTCAAACGATAACTTTGTTGCATTTCTTGCTACAGTAAATGCAAGCAACGCTTCGTAAATTTACACTCGCTTCTAGATCGATGCTAATTT